AGCTACTGTTTGCTCTTAAATACTTCCTCAACATCCTGAGAATGAAGCATGCATCTATTCAGTATCTGATCATTTCCTATAGACAAGGAATGAATGAATATGAGTTGAAGTTACATTTATGAGTAACCATCCATGTCAGTGCATGTTGGTCCTAAAACTAAACCAGAAAGAGACCATAAGGAAGAGAGAGTTGCTGCTAAAGCAGGCGCCGCACACTACAGCCATAGGCTCATGTACCTCTGTCGGCTGTCACTCAAAATACTAAAAGATTCCTAACATTTATGTTGAATAACTTACAACCTCTGACTAAAAACATGAACATTAAGTTATACTCAGGGGGCAAAGCAATAACATCACATGGTAATATGATAATAGCTTCAGGCTGTGCATTAAACATAAATAGGCTCTGTCAGCTCTCTGGGGGGCTCAGCATTGGTATTCCTCTATGAGAAGCGGAGCATGGAGCTCACTTGAATGGCAGGGCTGTCCTAATGTGAAACCCAATGAGACAGGTTGAGAAAAAGTTGAGAAAAGGTTGGAGGACAAAGTACAGCCAGGCTACGTTAGGTGGTCTAGAGAGGATTGAGATGAGGGTCAGCTAAAACGTTGAGAGAGAGTTGAGGAAAGGTTAAGAGAGGAATGAAGAAGGTTAAGGGAAGGGTTGAGAAAAGTTACAAGAAGGCTGCGAGAAAAAAAAAGTTCAGAGAGGATGAGTGAGGCGGCTGGAAGTGGATTCAGAGGGGGATGCATTGAAACAGTTGAGAGACAAAGTTGAGGAAAAATTGAGAAAAGTTTGAAAAGAGTTTGTGCGTAGAACATCAAGAGAAACTACGGGTGGGGGCCGAGAGCGGATTGAGAGGGGGTCCTAAACTAAAAACAGTTGAAGGACGATTAGAAGAAGAGGGAAGGTTGAGAAAGGAACGGGAACAGGTTAAAAGATGCATCATAGATCAACAAAAGATCAGAGAAGATCAGAGGTTGCTCAAACGCTGACAGGGGGTTGAGAAAGAGAGAGTTTGAGAGAGGCTGGAGGGAGGACAGAGAGAGACGAGGTTGAAAGAGGGAGTCTTATCTGTGTCCCATCTGTCTTGACATGTACACTCCCCTAGTTGAAGCCCTGCAGGGGAGAAAATAAGAGGCATGCATGTCAGTTACTGAATGTGGATCCTCCAGAGGGCTTAGGGGTAAGGCCTGTGCACTCTGGCCCAAAACCAGCCTAACCAGCCCCAGCCTCAACTCTGATGTCATGGCTTTCCGCTGTCATGTGAGTCAGCGAACCACGCACACCGAAAGTCATCATCACACAAAGGCAGATACTCTGTGTGCCACATGCAGATGTTACTCAATTTAATAATTTTTTAGAGTTTGGGGATTGAGTAGATTTTTTTACGCAACTGAACATTTCGTCTTCTTTGGTTGTGACAGTTCTGAAAAGGAAAAAACAATCGATATGACCTGCTTATTTTATGACTGGAGTTTGAGTAGAGGTCAAATGTTCTTGCACCCAGAACAAAATAAGTTAAAATGGAAAGGGCAGAGGTAGAAAAATGCTTCTCATCTAATGACATGTGCAAAAGTAATTATGTGTGATTGATAGATTGTTTGAGATTGTTTAACTCATCTTCCATGAAGACTGAAATATGCTTAGCCTCATTCTTAGTCTCAAATCACAACCCTTATCAGAATGACTATTTACTGGCCATTATGAAGTTTAGATCCAAGATGTTTCGCATCAAGCAACCCTCCAATATGTTTTGCTTGACTTGGTTGTACTGCACACCTGGGAGATCTGCCTTAATGAATACCTGATGTGTAGCGCCAGTTAATTCTCCTATAAAATAACTCCCTTCCTTCTTCCTGTGAGCCCGGCTGGTGTTTATCAAACGAGGTAACGTCCTGTCATGTGACCCTGGTTTCTCCCAGAGCCCACCTGTGTGGACTTTTCTCTTAATCCCTGCAGCCCTTTTACTCTGCTTTGAATACTTAGACTACTGAGTGTAACTAATTCTCCCACACAAGGATATTGTCTTCCCCTATCTCTTCTTTGTCCTTCTCTTTCAAGCCGCCCATTCACTGAATTCATTAGTAGGCAGTGTTGTGCGAGAGAGAGAAAAACTTTCCAATTAAAGGACTTAATAGGCTATTACCGTCATCTTAAATCCAACACTTGTTTTTTCTCACATTGTGAAACCAGATAATGATTATTTATCAGATCAGTGTGAGCTTTTAAAACCCTTTCTGAAGTTTCTAACTTGTAATTAGTGTTTTGAATGTGATGTATTCCCTATTTTGACCTATGAGTGTACTGTGAAGACATGCCAAAGTATTTTTTAAATGCAAAATTGTATAATAAAGCTAGTACAAATCATCCCGTGTAATAGTCATGGGTCTTTGTAACATTTCCTACAATAAAAAATCATTTGTAATGTGTAACACCCCCAGTTTTATCATTCAAAACGTACATTTAACGATTGTTGTTATTAGTGGGGTTTAATTAAATGTGTTTAACAGGCTCTTTTCCCTCCACACACATGCTGCACAGACACTGCAGCTGACCAGGGGGGCTGTGGAGGCAGATAGTCCCCTGGGATGGTCAAGCAGGCCCCGGCAGGGCCTTTTCTCAGAGCAGACACCCATTTGGTGCCTCCCTCCCTCCTCTCCTCGAGCCCCCCTGACCGCCAACCTGGAGGGGTCAGCTGTGCAAAAGGAGCCCTGGTCTGGAGCCGGGAGCGTAAATCAGGGGCCATCGCGGGAACCCTGCCTTGCCCAGGGTCCCAGCCCGGCCTGGCACCATCACTCCTGGCTCTGACGTAGAGCAGGCTACCACTGAGGTGGGTTCCCACTGACAGATCACCCAGACCGGGACACGTGGGCAACCCGGGACCCCCTGGATTATCCATCATCACCAGGGACCAGCCAGAAGGAAAGCAGCCTATCTACCAGGGTTGGCTGTAATTTGTTTTAGTTTTTAATATTGTCCATCCAGGAATTTAATTTACATTCAGTTCATGAATTGAAGATACCACATTATCTGTCAACATTATTTATACTTTTAAATGAATACATTTCAACATATTACCAATTGAAAAGCAATTGACCCTAACCCATGCTACCTATACACCGTCACAATTTTCTGATTGAGTTGTGAACTAGCAGTTAAATAAACTCTGACATGAACTCTAATCTCATAACAACTCATGACGGATATCAACCAATCAACTTCGTCATTTTTGTTGCAACAGCATTATGCTATGCTGGTTTAAAATGGATGACGTGTCCTCCTCACCACTCCCTCATAACAGCACCTGGAATTGTGACAGGTAAATCTAATTTGCAGAGACAAGTCTTTGCTTCCCAAGGCAGTAGACTTTATTGCAATTGCCTTCACCCTTCGCTTTTTGCCCGTGTAGTAGTTTACCTCTCCCCCTAAGGCCTGACTCTAATAGACAGGGTCATAAAATGGTTGTGTTACTGTTTTCCTTTTTCAAACCAGTGACACCAGTTGTTCACCTTCCTCACAGGGCCTTTTGTAAGGCCTGACAGGTCGTCTATTCCAGACAGGGACGTTTGTAGAAGTCAGCCTTGAGTTGACTCCACATTCAATAAGGACCATCTTTATGAGCTTTTCAACACTTAAAAAATGTATGGGAAAAATGGCCGCTTGGATGGTTGTTTTGGCTCTGTTGAATATTGTTGATTTAGTTGCATATTTTAAAGTTATCCGGTTTGTTGATGTACTGAAATATTTCAATGAGACCTCCTAAAACATTAAAATGTTTATTAATTTATCGGATAAACAACACATTAAGAAAATATGGTTGTTCGCTGTTTGTTTAAGCTATCACCAACAATGTTTTTCGTGCCATTACTCTTACATGTTTTTGTAATAACAGATATTTTGGCAGGTCCTGGGGTTGAGGGTAGGACAAGAGGACCTTCACGGTGACACATACAGCCGAGATAGAAATAGAAACACACGGCCATGATGGGGTTAGGACATGTCATTCTGAGAACCACCATCTTTCACCCTGTCTTCTGGCCCTAAGCCATCCACAATAATTTGAAAATACTCAAATTGTGGAATATAAAGTTTTGGTTAATAGAGGTGGTCAAACTCGATTGTCTTAACTCACATACAGGGTGTATCAGAGTTCACATACTTCCTTATCAATTTGACTTATTTGCCTGTCTTTTCTAATTATTGTGGATGGCTTAGGGCCAGAAGACAGGGTGAAAGATGGTGGTTCTCAGAATGACATGTCCTAACCCCATCATGGCCGTGTGTTTCTAAGACAATCGAGTTTGACCACCTCTATTAACCAACACTTTATATTCCACAATTAGTGATTATCCCCTGTTGCTTTAACAACATTTTATGGTGAAAAATGTAATAAAAAGTATTATGGGATTTAAGAATTACTGTATTTAAGAATTGATGAAAGGCAGTGTCATAATTAAATAATGAAGCCATGTGTCATCATTCTGTCAACCCTGTACTTCACATCAACATAACATTTGCACATACTGCCCTCATGTGGTAACATTAGTACTACATTTAGTGTTCCATTTCAAAATCATAACACAGCAGGTTTATAAACCTATGTTGCAGATGTGTATTCAAAGGTAGCATGCAAAACAAAAACATTACATGCCAATATTTCATCAAATGTGTATTTTTATTAACAGACACACAAGCCTTTTGGGGGAAATAATGCAAACCACCAAACTGTCCTGACTTCATGTACTTTGCCCTCACATACAATATATTTTATTTTCAGACAAAACAGACACACTCCATCACTTGTCATATCATATAGTTCAATGTACCATATACTACTGAACTACAAGATCTTGATGCATTCTAGTGATGGCCACTAAACGCAAGAGTCTAATATAAAACCCAACTCTTCTTGAATTCAACTGCCAAGAGACCAAAGTGATGCTGCTCATTTAGAAACAACCTCTCAAGCAGTACTGAAATGATATCACACTAGTTTACATCAATGTTTATTGACATCCTCTACAACTGCATTCTGATGACTGCTGAGTTTGGCTGGTCCGTCCCATCCTGCCTTGAGTTTCTCCTCCACCGTGTGGTCCCCCTTGGATCCTCCCATGCAGGGTGGGCTCTTGGCTATACTGGGGTTGCTGCCCCACTGCTGGGGCGTCTTGGCCTGGATGGCCAGCGCGTGGACACAGGTCTTCAGCTCCTCGGCTAGGGTCTCGTTGACAAGGCGGTGGCGCTGTAGCAGGGAGAGGCCGTCGAAGCGTGGGCTGACCACTAGGACTCGGAAGTGGGACTCGGACCCAGGGGGCACAGCATGCATGTGGCTCTCGTTCTGCACTTCCAGGTGTTCTGGCTCCAGCTGCTGGGTGAGCTTGGTCCGTATGGCCCCCTCCACTGGCCGGTTGGGATCAGCAGCCATGTGGGGTCTGAAGTGGGCTAAGGGCCTGGTGAAGGCGAGGTTGGTGGAGATGGGACGGGCACAGCGGAGAACACTGGGCAGCATTCAGAGGACTGGGGCAGGCGACGACTATGGACAGCCTGCAAAGAAGAAGTGGACTGGTGGTCTCTCTTCAGGGTCAGAAGTTACACTTTGAAAGAAAAGGTGCTATCTAGAACCTAAAAGGGTTCTTCGGCTGTCCCCTCTGTGGAAAGGAAAGGGTTCTACATTGAACCAAAAGGGGTTCTCCTTCTTTCTAAGTGTAGCTAGCTTTACATAGATACAGTATCTGTTATCTATAGCTACAACATCTAACTATGTTCTTTAGATACATGAAAATGACGTGTGCTAATTTCTTTCACAAGATAACTCGCTAGCTAGCTACCGTTATCTAACTGGCTAGCTACTTGCAGTAACCACTGCCATATTGACTGCATTTAGTAACCTCAAATAGTACCTTAGCTAGTTTGGGTTGTTATTAATAAATTATCAAAGCTGTAATAACCCAAAGTGCGTTGTAATACATGTATTAGCTACCTACCTTTTCACAGTGTCCTCAGTTGAAGCTACGTTATCCAACGTATATAGAAAGTACTGCCTGGATTGGACTGTCTGGGACTTGTAGTCTGTTTGAATTGTAGTCTTTGTAGACGGCCTGGGACTCGTATTTGCAGCAGTAAATTGTAGTCTTGTAGGCTAGTAAATCTAGTGCTGGAGGTTTGTTTTTGTAGGCTAGTAAATCTAGCGCTGGTGGAGGTTTGTTGTAAAGTTAATTTTTCTAAATTAGCTATCATGCCTGTTGGTGAAATTAAGTGGTCCTCTGTAGCTCAGCTGGTAGAGCACCACGGCGCTTGTAACGCCAAGGTAGTGGGTTCGATCCCCGGGACCACCCATACACAAAAAAAAAATGTATGCAAGCATGACTGTAAGTCGCTTTGGATAAAAGCGTCTGCTAAATAATTACAAGGGTTTCATCATTAGGACAGTAGTTTATTTTTCTTTGCTATCCACTGCAGTTCTGAAAAGGTCAATTGCACAACAGTACAAACCTCATCATAAATAAACAATGACAAAAGATAAGAAAAAATCTCACACACAAACTTTATAACAGAATCATGACATTGTAATATTTAAGTATTCTTCATAACCAGTAGTATTTATTTTTATGTTTTTACTTATATTCCATTCTCATTTACAAAATACACAAAATCAAAGACAACATACAATAGTATTCTGTCATTTACACTTCAGTTTTTTTGTCCTTTGTATTTTTTTATGGTTACACATGTATACAGTATTGTAATTCCTAATTCTATGATCTATACTTACATACAAACATCTACAGATTCTACAGCACAGTACAATGACAGTGATAAATTCTCTGTTACATGTAATTAATCGCAACATATTCTTATTGACAAAAGCCTCAAAGACCTAGGGGTAGTTTTAGAAGTGAATATAAGCCATTCAGTCCCATTTAGTAGAAGCCAACACACAGCCTCTCAGTGGAAAAGGCCCAGCATATAATGTGCTTCATTTCCCAATAGTGTTTTGGGGAGAGATAAAATACAAATAATCTAACACTTATTGCTATAATTACGTTTTTGCACTCATGATTGACCGTTGACCGAGCAAGTTAAGAATACAAAAACAAACCTGTAACAGAATTGAAAATATGCAACTACAGGTACTAAAAACAATCTTGACTGAAAATATCCTGAACTGGTTCACTGAGAGAGTAAATAGATAGTTAAGCATTTCACAGCGTTCCATGTCGTACTATACAGCATTAATATTGACATCCTTGTTTATCATTTCATGGGTGATATAATTAGGACAACATACAGATAGGATATGGAAATACAGATCAGCTGCAATGCTGAGGCTGATTCTTCAATAACAAATGTAACCTTTTAAGATTACTGTGCTGCTTAGAGGAATTGTGAACAAATGTACTTTCCGGCAGACTGGCCGTCCATGTCCCAGGTCAGCTTATGAAAACTGCTCCCCCTACTACAGGATTTTTTTCAAGGGGTCAAAGGTTATAAAGAGCTATAATATTTATGAATGATCTATGTTATATTTTATTTATTTTAATTTACATATTTAAATCTATATTCCAGATTTTTTTTATGACATAGTATAAACTTAAGACATACAAAAATATTTGGCAATAATCAATGAAATAAGTTACTCATGGCACACTTATAGATCGGCGGTCACTAAACCATCAGTGAATGGTTCGGGTGTGTAGACTACTGCATGTCAATTGTGAGGAACGTGGTAACGGCTTGAAGTTCCTACATAGATTAAGGGGTCCTAAATTGAACGTACAATATGCTAGTTTATGGTCATGTAACATAAAGTAAAGTGAGAGGTTGCTATGTCAATAAATTGGCAACTGTGACTACTGTAAATCAATGTATACTGATTATTTTGTGTACTGTTCACAACTGCATCCATGACTCATTTGGTACCAATGAATCATTTGGTTACTGTCTTAAATTGGTCGCATGTAAGCAGTTGTTGTGCTTAAGTCAACTGCTTTACCTTCTGTTACCCTTCATGTGCTAGCTACTGATTTATTTTATGTCTCAAAGGTTTTGGTCTTTTGAAGAACGCAAGGCATTAACAACTGTGCATGTACTGCTAGGTACATTTAGTGCAATGGATTGGTCTCTATCTAGAATACTGTTAAGTCTACATATGGCTGCTATCCTACAAAATGGCAGTTTATGATAATTTCCTTTCTTTCTGAATCAGTGCTTTGATGCTTTTCTCTGTTTGTTTCTTTGTAACATGCAATTGTGAACATACCACACTTGATCAATGTGCTTGCTATAATGGGAATGTGAAACATTGTTTGGTACCAAACCAATGTACAGGAAATCTATGGATCAGATATCCCATGAGGACACTGCCCTTAGCAGTGTGTTTAGTCCTAGTCTATCATGTATGATAAAAACCTCGGCAGAGGTGTGTAACATGTTAGATGTACCCATATATCATGATGTTCTAAGCTTCAAGGGTGGAAAATTAAAGGAAGGTTATACTACTTATATTTCAATGCTTGGTGAAATGTTTCTCATAAGCATCCAATAACATCCAATAATGTTCCCTTTTCTCATTGAGGTTTAATTCTCATTTTGATCATTCGATCAATAAAGCAGCTTTTACATGTATCGCCACATCAGTTAATCATACTCCAAGTATCGAATAAAACAACAAATGAACAAGCTATCAAGAATCCACAAAAAAACAAAAATAATTGCAGGTCAAAGTTCAATATTGCACAGGCAAAAAAGCACATTCTCACACCCATACCAAAATTCTACTCAGAATAATATATGGGCAATGATGTACATGTTAGTATTTAATGACAGTGCATATATGTGCTTACCACTATACTCTCTTTTGAAAAACATATATTGCCCTCAAAAGTAAATATATCTTTATATCTTTAAAACTCAAAACAAATATCAAATGGAATCTACAAAAAATATATAATATTGTTGCAATGTTTCACTGAAGTTTAGTGTATTCTTTCCATACCTTTGTGTATTATTTCCAACTTCATTGTTTTTAATATTTTCGCTCCACTTTGAATATCTAGTTCCTGTATCACAATATCACAAAGAAAGAAAACATATGTTTTAGTTGTGCACATTCAAATGGTTTGATGTGCTTAAGGGATGCGAGAATGTTCCAGAAATCCAAGGCCAATATTAGAACAGCAGAATTATAGCAAAGGCAGTATGATTTCTCTTGTAAAATGACATGGATATAACATCTAACTTATTGATGTACAGTAACATGACACACTTCAATGCCATTTTCATATTGTTTTCTATCTTTCTAGCAAGTTTTTGATGAATTCACTTACATACCTTGTTACATGCATACCACTTTCCAAAACCACATTTTGTAAGAGCAAAACACAATGCCTATGACAGATGGTACAAAGAAGGCATTTGTTACTACAGGATATATGAAGCAAGAATGACGATTGAACTGTGGGCTTTTAAACGTTTGTTGAAAACGTGACAATAGTAATAACTATTGTAACAAGTTGTGGCAATAGTAATATTTGCATCAGCAAACGTTTGTGCTTTAAATGTGGAATGTTTGAACAAAGTGTTGTTCTAAAAATTACATGGCGAACAATATGGGCTACACAAAGTAAGGGAGATTGATGGATTGATTTGAGTGACCTTTCATGATTGATTGCGATAGAATGGCTAGAAAGAATGTTTTAAAGGGAAAAAGCTCAACAGATCACTTTTGTCAACAGTCTCATTCAAACCATAATGAAAGTAAACCTGGAATGTTCTAACATCTATAAAATGGCAGTTATTTTGTACATAAAATAAACACAAGACCTTGGAAGGTATGATAATGAGGAGAGGCCTTGGTTTAACAAAATGTTTGGTTTACCCATTAAGTCAAAAATGGTTCAAATCAAGGTGTAACATAATTTTTTACTGACGTTCTACCATGGCAATGTAGACTCATGTAGATGGGAAGTGAGCTGAGCTTATCAGAGAAATTGGTGTGAATACGGATTGGATGGCTAGTGGTAATTTCTATTACGGGCTATTGGCATGGCTCATAAACTAGACCCCATGTCCCTACCCATAACCCCAGAAATCTGTCTTCATTTTAGGGACATGCATCTAAACTAGCTCCTCAACCCTCCTAAACACATACACTCAGTGATTAAGTTTACACTGAACAACCATTAAAGTTGGAACAGCTTCTGTTGGTCTAGGGGCAGAGTTTGGTTGCACTTCCCTTTCTCTACCAACTCACAGCCTATTCATGGGGATCAATGTCAAGCAGCGGCAGCACAGTTCCACAGATCTTAGTAGTATAGAGATGTGTCTATCTAAACAGTACATCCAATATCAGGCAATCCACAATATTTACAGCTTAGTAGATCTGTGCAGAATCTGCACTGAACAAAATCCTGTGAATAGGCTATGACTTCAATGGGGCGTACAGGGCAGAGTTTAGGGGTTTCTTGGGCTGCTTGTTGTTCACAGTGTGGCTTACTCTTCTGATCCCCCACGTCGCCCCCTAGGGGTGTGGCCACACTATTGCAGCACCTGGCCCCGCGTCTCCGGCAGCTTGAATGCCAGGAAGCTGCCCGCTGCAAGCGCCCCGGAGGCGAACAGGATGGGCACAGCCTTGGTAATGCCCACGAAAGAGGTGAAGATGCTGATGCCCAACACGGCTGCCAGCTTACAGAGGGCATTTAGAAAGCCAAACGCTGTGCATCTGGGAGGAGAGAGGAAGATCAGTTAGTTCCATAATAACCTCTATTCAAACAGTCTCAGATTGAACTCATAATGAAACACCTGCAGGAGGACTGTTCAGCCACATGGGGGAGCGCTACTACTCTTTCTGAAATTGGAAAATAATATTAAATCATGGTCAGATATAATAATGAACAGCCAGTCTGCTAGGATGAGATCTCAGAGTTTGAAAGGGCCAGAAATGTTTCTGTCACCCCAGTTTACTGGGATAAACAGATGTTTTTTTCTTCAGTATAGGTTGGTTGAGGCAGTGCAGTGTTCACTCAGCCATGGGGTGGCAGTAAGGATTCCCACCCAGTCTCACACACCACAACCACACAGTACTATTTTCTCCATTTTCCTCCATCTAGTGTAGCCAATCATATCAAGGCACCACTTTTGCCAGTACACCCTGGAAGCTACAACCTTCCACAGTGCCAAGATTTTGGTGTGGCTCTCTGGTTTGGGTTTCCTACCTCTTGTCAGAGGGGTAGAGCTCCACCGTCAGCACGTCCAGGGCGTTCCAGGAGGCGATGCTGATGCCCCCGAACAGACAGAGCAGAGCGATCATGGCCGACTCGCTGTTGCCGAACGACAGGAAGAAACAGCTGACACAAGAGATCACACTGGAGCCCGCTGGAGAGAGACAGGAGAGGAGGGAAAGAGATGAGGAGGGAGGGAAAGGGAGGGAAAGGGAGGAAGATAGGGATAGGGGGTAAGGAGGGGGAGAGAGAGGGAGGGGGAAAGGAGGGAGAGAGAGAGAAGAAGAAATGGAAAATGAGTGAACCTATGAATATGTCATCTAATATGCCTGCTATTCTTGCTGAATGCATTGAATCCTTTTTGGCCGTAGTGAGACAGAAAATTCTGCCCAATCTACCATAGACTAAGCAGACTATATTTTGTTTTCTTAAGGTTGCTGATCTCTGTGTCGAAGACATGCACCAACTGTACGGTGCAAAATCAGACGACACCATTGTAGCCGTGACGACACTGTCGCTTCTCCTCGCTCTATTACCCAGCATCCTCAGTCGTCCGATCTTGTCCATGAGCAGTGCCGACACGATGTTGCCAGGCAACACAGCCAGGGTGCCCAGGAAGCTGACAAAGTAAATCATGTAGGCACTGTTCTCGTCGCTGAAGTCGCTAAGCATGCAGCCCTCCTTGTTGTGCAGGAAGGTGCTGTTGACCAGTTTGCTATTGATCAGCCTGTACTTGAACAGATCTACAGGGGAGAGAAGGAGGGGAGAGAGAGGAGAAGGGGGGGGGGGGTTATTGACCAGACTTCGATTCGATGTAGGGATAGACTTTAATGCATTCTGTATTGCTCGGATCTTTAATGTCAGCTATCTCATATGAACACAGTACCATAAACCACAGTCATTCTAACGGATTAATTAGAGAATATGAACTGGGGCGTAAGGTTCACATATCTAGGGCCTATTCAATGAGTTAGAAAATAAAATACATTCATAATACTGAATTCTTTATTCTACTGTCCATACTGTCCAAGCCTAACCTCTGACCTCCAACCTCTAGGTTTTGCTCTGCTGTACTTCTCAGTATAAATCCATCATGTGGTTGGTCCCATAGTGGTTTAACATTCTGCACTATGGCAACAATCTAGCAGCTTCTATCTCTTAGTGGGAAAGCACAGAGGGATTAAGCAATAAAGCAATAACAGTGAAATTAGTAACAATCTAGCAGCTTCTATCTCTTAGTGGGAAAGCACAGAGGGATTAAGCAATAAAGCAATAACAGTGAAATTAGTTTCTAATTCAAATTCAAATGAGTAGCTCCTGCATGGCATTGATAGCAGCAGAGTGATTGCTTGACTAGCCTAATGACGGACAAACACCTAACAGAACGAGAGGGATGCGTTTAGATAGTCCCTATTGTACTGCTCTGATAACGTCTTGAGCGAGAGAGAGAGAGAGAGAGAGAGAGAGAGCGAGAGAAGAGAGAGAGAGAGAGAGAGAGAGAGAGAGCGAGAGAGAGACTAGAGAAGAGAGATATAAGACTTGGTTTTGCTGATAAAAAATATAATATAATCTGCCTAGCAACGCTTTAGCAGAAGACTTCAGTCTCGCTCTGCCATACTCTCTTTCTGTATGGGTGTCTCGAACCCTCTACCTTGTCTTTCGCGCCTGCTCTAACTGCTACTAGCTCGGTTTCTATCGTTGAGTGTGTAATGTCAGAGATAAAATTGGATTCTGCCGATGGATCGAGAGGACTTCAAGCTCATCAATATTACCCATCTTTTGTCATCAGCCATACAGATGCATCATCTTCTTGTGCAGGCTGCTTTTTGTTTTGGACAAATCTATCATTCAGTTTGAGGTGACTGACAGTTCTATAATTTTCAAGCTGAAGTAAAACAGGATTGGGGCTGTGTTGCTAGGATACCTCTCTCTGTCTGCATTGCTACATTATGTTACAGGGCCAGGGAGTAGAGTGACGGTAATTTAGCCATTTTTGTCTTGTGCGAAGCATATAATTGGAGCTGATTCCCTGCACTGTTTCTGGCTCTGTTTCTATAAGAGAGGTTTAACACCTTAGTAAGAAATGCATACGACCTATACGAACAATATAATACATTTTTAGCTCCTTAGACAACAATATAATATACAATTGTATTTTATCTGTCAATCAAACACAGAAGCCACTAACACGATTGAGATTAAAGTACTTAGATTAATTAATGAAGGAAAAACCCTTATCAGCAAAACAAGACATTCACAATGTCTAATTCCAACAAACACTGATACAACACTCTAATCAGCAGAGTTGTAAACAACCAACCTGTATTGTAGAAGAGGGTGGCGATAAAGGTGCAGTTCTTGAAGAAGGTGTTGCTGGAGGTGATGTCTTCAAAGTAGCACTCCTCAAACAGAGAATCCTCAAACACCATGGACTTCATCTTCAGATTCATAAACCTGATAGAGAGACAGAGAGACAGAGAGAGAGAGAGAGAGAGAGAGAGAGAGAGAGAGAGAGAGAGAGAGAGAGAGAGAGAGAGAGAGAGAGAGAGAGAGAGAGAGAGAAGCGATTCCCAAACCTTCCATAACAAAGCCATCACCTACAGATAGATGAACGTGGAGAAGAGTCCCCTAAGCAAGCTGGTCCTGGGGCTCTGTTCACAAACACAAACAGACCCCACAGAGCCCCAGGACAGCAACATAATTAGACCCAACCAAATCATAAAAAATTAAAAATAAGATAATTCCTTGACACATTGGAAAGAATTAACAAAGAAAATGCGCAAACTAGAATGCTATTTGGCCCTAAACAATGAGTACACAGTGGCAGAATACCTGACCACTGTGACTGAACCAAACTTAAGGAAAGCTTTGACTAGCCTTGCTATTGAGAAAGGCAGCCGTAGGCAGACCTGGCTCTCAAGAGAAGACTGGCTATGTGCACAGTGCCCACAAAATGAGGTGGAAACTGAGCTGCACTTCCTAACCTCCTGCCAAATGTATGACCATATTAGAGACACATATTTCCCTCATATTACACAGATCCACAAAGAATTCAAAAACAAATCCAATTTTGATAAACTCCCATATCTATTGGGTGAAATACCACAGTGTACCATCACAGCAGCAAGATTTGTGACCTGTTGCCACAAGAAAAGGGCAACCAGTGAAGAACAAACACCATTGTAAATACAACCCATATTTATGTTAATTTATTTTCCCTTTTGTACATAATATGACATTTGAAATGTCTTTATTATTTTGGAACTTTGGTAAGTGTAATGTTTACTGTTAATTTGTATTGTTTATTTCACTTTTGTTTATTATCTACTTCACTTGCTTTGGCAATGTTAACATGTGTCCCATGCCAATAAAGTCCTTGAAATTGAAATTGAATTGAATTGAGAGAGAGAGAGAGAGAGAGAGAGAGAGAGAGAGAGAGAGAGAGAGAGAGAGAGAGAGAGAGAGAGAGAGCGAGAGAGAGAGAGTTTGTTTTAACATCAGAATGGCAGATTGACCCTTGACCTATTTACTTTATGAATGGCTCGGTACTCTGCTGTGTTCCCATGACAATGCTGATGAGGGAAGAGGGAAGGGGGACCTACTTGTTGTTGAAGTACTCTCCATTGCGGTGCACCTGATTCTCCAGGGTGAAGTTGAAGGTGACATGCTCTACCTTCTCCTTGATGAAGACCTTGGTGCGCGAGGAGTACTCCTGCTTCTGGAGATACTTGATCATGTCAGGGAACCACACCGTCAGCCCATAGTAACTGAGGGAGAGAAGGAGATGGATGTTAAGACAGATGGAAGGATCATGATGATATACTAATAATACAAACCACTTAGAAGGTATAGGACACTAACCATATCATCAATATCAGTAATGTAAAACTACATTTTTACTTGAGTCAGACAAAATCAAATAAAAGTTTATTGGTCACGTACACAGATTTGCAGGTGTTATAGCAGATGCAGCGAAAAAGCTTATGTTACTAGCTCCAACAGTGCAGTAGAATGCCTTGCAAATACAATCCAAATACACAAATAATCAAAACATCTAACAAGAAATCAAGTTAGTTCATTATACCAGTAGTTCATTCTATGTGGATCTGACTTTGGCTGAATATTATCTGAAAACAGTTTTGGGAGCTTGACTTTACCTGAAGGACATAGAGAACCACACAGCCATCATCATGAGAGTGGTGCGGCGGTACTCAGGAGAGAAGATGGCCAGGAAGTTGCTCCACACCTGCAGGGAGGTTCACAGACACACACACACACAAACCGACACACACACGCACACGCACACGCAAACGCACACACACACACACACAAACAATATATCTCAAAGGAAGTCTCTCTACAATCCACAACAGCATTAAATAAACATAAAGTTCAATGTTCCACACAAGCCAACAGTAAACACAGCTAGTACTCCTGAGTGGCGCAGTGGTCTAAGGCACTGCATCGCAGTGCTAACTGTGCCACTAGAGATCCTGGTTCGAATCCAGGCTCTGTCGCCGCCGGCCGCGACCGGGAGACTCATGGGCGGTGCACAATTGGCCCAGCGTTGTCCAGGGTAGGGGAGGGAATGGCCGGCAGGGATGTAGCTCAGTTGATAGAGCATGGCGTTTGCAACGCCAGGGTTGTGGGTTCGATTCCCACGGGGGGCCAGTATAAAAAAAAAAATGTATTCACTAACTGTAAGTCGCTCTGGATAAGAGCGTCTGCTAAATGACTAAAATGTAAAATGTAGTAAACATAGCTAGGTAATCTCTGCACACAGGCACTTTATAAACAACGTGGGCTCATATACAAACAATCGTTCCAGTCTCTCATTCTGTCGTTAACAGCATATAAACATGAAACTACTCTGTTCTCTTTGACAGTAATAGCATTGGTGATTGTAATTCAGTGAAGTATGAGAGACCATAGGCGGAAGGTTGCTGGTTTGAATACCTGAGCCAACAAGGTGAAAAATCTGTCGATCTGCCCTTGAGCAAGGTACTGTACTTAACCATAATTTGTTCCAGGGGAGCTGTACTACTATGGCTGACCCTGTAAAACAACACATTTCACTGCACCTATCTGGTGTATGTGACAATAAAATATATTTTTTGGGTATACAGTTACAATTTCGTTTGAGCTAGAATATAACACCTTTTTGTTAGACCAATGATTAGCATTCAAAACTTAGAAGAAGAAAAAGAAGAAGAAGAAGAAGAAGAAGAAGAAGAAGAAGAAGAAGAAGAAGAAGAAGAAGAAGAAGAAGAAGAAGAAGATGGATAATCCTCGCATTCAATTTAGCCCCAGTTGACCAAAGATCCTTAGGCAAGCAAGTGAAATATTAAAATCGTCTCTGGTTTAGCTGTTCATTACCAGTATGATGGTATGTTACCTGGTTGAAAAGGTTAAGGTAGAGTATGTTACCTGATTGAACAGGTCAGCAAGCTTCATCCTCCATCTCTGGTGCCAGGCGGTGCCCTCTCCCATGTCCACCAGCTCATCCATCTGCTTAACTGTCTTGATGGTGGTCACCTGGGGGCAAAAACACAACTCAGTCACACCAACTTCCTTAACATAATTACTCCCTAAACAAGTTTATCAAAGCTTAATTCAAAGCTTAATTCATCTTCAAATGACTAATAAATTCAAGATAATTAATGCGAATTTAACAAGGATCCTCCTAACTGTAAATGCATGAGAGAGGCTGTGGTTGCACAGAGGCAGTAATTGCAAGATAATTCATGAATATAAAAATGTCCCCTCATGTATTTTCTCAGAATAAAAGACTGCTTCACTGATTGCAGACTAGATGTGTCTGATAGTGGTTGGATAGTGGTTTAGGATGGATGTACTGTGTGTGTGTCACTCACAGAGAAGACCCTCTCTGGGTAGCCCTTCGCCCTCATGTTGGTGTCATGGACCTGCTTCAGAATCATCCAAGCCTCATCGTGTTTTCCATTCTACAACAGACAAGACAGACACATTTGTCTAATGAATAGCTAAATAAATAGGAACTCATTATGGTACATTTATCAGGATAATCAGGATCCCAGCAGGTGTTTAATGAAGGTAGCTACTGTAAGTGTCATGATATTCAAACACAGCAGTAAGTCCCAAGTTAAACCCAAGATGATAAACAATGCCTTGGGTAGCTAAATTACTTTATCTCAGGGGAATCACTGTACTTTTTATAGTTTAATTATTTGGATGAATGAATCCATTTCAACTACTATTTTTGTTATATTTTCATTGGTGGTTGGTGGACTGACCTCCAGGAAGAAGCGTGGGCTCTCGGGCATTGTGGTGAGAGCAGAGATGGCTGCCACAGAGGGGAAGGCACACACCAACACAAATACACGCCAGCTGTGGAACTGGTACGCAGAGCCCATCTGGAAACTCCAGCCTGGAACAGGGACATAAAGAGGTTGAAGAACTATGGTGCAAGGGTCATACCAAGAGCAGTATACAGGACGATAAGCATATGCATCCATGTTTGATAGGAGCATAACAAAGAATATGATGATTGTTTCTGTGTGTATAAATCGTGTGTATTCAATTGTCTTTAAATGTACAGTATGTGTAATCCTTGCTTGGAAACCAAATTTCACTCTGGTGTGGTAGAAATGAACTGACTTTTTGATCGACCAACAACCCCCCAACCGACTCACTGATATGTTGATTGATTGACTGATTGACTGGTTGGTTGATTGGTTAATTGACATTTCTCACCATAGTGCGGGGATGATGGCCCAGGCCATGGCAGAGGCATAAATGCCACCGATCATCCAGAACATGCAGAGCCAGCTGAGGTGCTCTCCTCTCTTCTCCTGGGCCAGGAACTCAGAGTAGTAGGAGAACACGATGGGGATGGAGCCACCGATGCTGCAGAGAGAGAGAGCGAGAGAGAGAGAGAGAGAGAGAGAGAGAGAGAGGGATAGAGCGATAGAGAGAGGAGAGGGAGCGATAAAGAGAGAGGGGTGGGGAGAGAGGGGCCAGGAAGACATTAGAGGGGAGTGAGAGGGGAAGAGACATTGAGAAAGAGTGAGAGAGTGACAGGGATGACAGAGCACAAATGTGGAAAAAGAAGAGGGGTGAGGGAGAGAATGGGGAAAGTTGATGAACGAAAGAGAAATATGAGAGAGAGAGAGAAGAGAGAGAGAGAGAGAGAGAGAGAGAGAGAGAGAGAGAGAGAGAGAGAGAGAGAGAGAGAGAGAGAGAGAGAGAGAGAGAGAGAGAGAAATAAAGAGTCAGAGTCTCTTTAGACCATTAAACCATTTCAATAATCTGTGCCAGCACAATAACATTATCCACATCAATAATAGATAGGCTTCATACACATTTCATCCAGTTGATTTAACCAAGCTGGGATCACTTACAGACTTACAGATTTGGGAGTCATTGCAGGGCACATTAATTTTGGAAGCATTTACAGTCGGCACTAGTATTTATAGCCGAGTTGTTTTTAGAGGAGAAGGGTGTGTGACAGAGCGTCCTTCCTTACCCCACGCCGGAGAGCAGACGGCATAAAAGGAAGGAGCTGTATCCTTGAACGAAGGAGGAGAAGAAGGCAAAGACGCTGTTGATGGAGAGAGAGATGAGGAGGGTCTGTCGCCGTCCGATCCGGTCGGCCAGGCCGCCCCACACGAAGGCCCCCACCATCATCCCCAAGTAGACAATAAGACCTGAAAGATGGAGAGAGAGAGAGAGAAGGGGTGGGGGAGAGGGAAGGAGAACAACGGAGAGAGAGAGAAAGAGGGTTGAAAAGGTGAGAGAATATAGGGATGGAGGGGAGAGAGAGGGAGGGAAAAGACTAAATGAGTTATTAATACCTATCAGGGTTATTATACACTTAGAAAAAAGGGTTCCAAATGGGTTCGTTCCGCTGTCCCCATAGGAGAACCCTTTTTGGTTCCAGGTAGAACTCTTTTGGGTTCCATGTAGAACCCTCTGTTCTACATGGATCTCAAAAGGGTTCTACCTGGAACCAAAAAGGGTTCTTCAAAGGGTTTCTCCTATGGGGACAGCCGAAAGAACCCCTTTAGGTTCTAGATAGCACCATTTTTTCTAAGAGTGAATGGATCATAGAAATAGAATGAATAGAACAGGCGTACCCAAAGGAGAAAAGCAAGAAGTAAAAGCAGGAAGTAAAAGCAGGAAGTGTACCCATTAATCTCTGCTGTGATTTGTTGAATCAACTCAACTGACATTACAAAAAATACATTTCATTGCATGAGCCACATCAGTTATGGATTGTGGACTTCAGGAAACAGCAGAGGGAGCACCCCCCTATCCACATTGATGGGACTGCAGTGGAGAAGGTGGAAAGCTTCAAGTTCCTCGGCGTACACATCACTGACAAACTGAAATGGTCCACCCACACAGATAGTGTGGTGAAGCAGGCTGGAGGCTGAATAAATGTGGCTTGGCACCTAAAACCCTCACAAACTTTTACAGATGCACAATTGAGAGCATCCTGTCGGGCTGTATCAGGGCTCTCCAGAGGGTGGTGCGGTTTGCCCAACGCATCACCGGGGGCAAACTACTAGGCCTCCAGGACACCTGCAGCACCCGATGTCACAGGAAGGCCAAAAAGATCATCAAGGACAACAACCACCCGAGCCACTGCCTGTTCACCCCGCTATCATCCAGAATGCGAGGTCAGTACACGTGCATCAAACCTGGGACAGAGAGACAGAAAAACAGCTTCTATCTCAAGGCCATCAGACTGTTAAATAGCCTTCACTAGCACATTAGAGGCTATACATAGATTAGAAATCGCTGGCCACTTTAATAAATGAAACACTAGTCACTTTCATAATGTTTACATATCTTGCATTACTCATCTCATATGTATATACTGTATTCTATACTATTCTACTGTATCTTAGTCTATGCCGCTCTGACATTGCTTATCCATATATTTACATATTCTTAATTCCATTGCTTTACTTAGATTTTTGTGTATTGGGTATATGTTGTGAAATTGTTAGATATTACTTGTTAGATATATTTATTTGTTTCCTTTTTGTTTGTTTTTTTCTAATCTTTTTATTCCATAAAAAAATGTTTATATATATACACATATACACACATACACACACACATACACACATACATACACATACATATCCTTAAAAAAAAAATATATATATATTCCCCTTTATTACTTTCCAACCCCGCCACCCTTTCCCTACTTGGAGTAAACTAGTGAACAACAATGCTTAGGCCTCTACTTCCAGCTTATACTTACTATCTACATTTTAAGGACACAGTCAATTTTACAATAATTATATTTTGTTAGTTTTTTCTCCTGAACTTCTTCTACTCTCAACCTCTCCAATCATTTTCATGATGTCCATCCGGTTTGCTTCTATATGCCATATCTTTCTAACTGTGCTCTTTCACAAAAGCTCCCAACCTACAACCTATATACTTATTATGGACACAGTATGCTTACATTATTAGTTATCTTGTTAGATATTACTGCACTGTCAGAGCTAGAAACACAAGCATTTCGCTACACCCGCAATAACATCTGCTAAACACGTGTACGTGACCAATAGAATTGGATTTGATTTGAGCATTAAAAAGCAAGATTCTTTGCCAAACCATACATTTTTAAACAAAACGTGATGCTACATTCACTAACACTGGTTGTCAAGTGCAATTCCAGGCGTTCTCTGGTCATTAGTTCTATTTGTATTGACTGCCATGGAAAGTGGCGCGACTCATGGGCGGCGCACAATTGGCCCAGCGTCGTCCAGGGTAGGGGAGGGAATGGCCAGCAGGGATGTAGCTCAGTTGATGGAGCATGGCGTTTGCAACGCCAGGGTTGTGGGTTCGATTCCCACGGGTGGCCAGTATAAAAAAATAAAAAAATAAAATGTATTCACTAACTGTAAGTCGCTCTGGATAACAGCGTCTGCTAAATGGCGTAAATGTAAATGTTAAATGTAAGTAAAACTATCCAAGCGCTGGTTGATAGTTCCAGAACTTTGCAGGTTGCTTTGGCAAACAAAAATGGTTGCTATGGAGGTTCTTCCCCTCTTGCTAGCTAGCCAACTACACAGCTAACACAATCACATCGGATTGAAGCTGGAAAGACAGCAAACTAGCTGCATTTCGTTTCGTTTTTCTATTGACATTTCTTTGTATATGTCCATCAAAATTATGCAGATCTTTTATTTCGACTGGCTGAGAAAAGCTGCCTGTCTGTCTTGTCCCGACTTCCGCCGAGGCTGCCTCCCCTCCTTGTTCGGGCAGGCTTCGGAGTTCGTCATCACCGGCTTACTAGCCACTGCCACTCCATTATTCATCATTCCATTTGTCTTGTCTTGTCAATCACACACACATGGTTCTTATCCCATCATTAGTCCGTGTATAAGTGTTCCCTCTGCCCCCCCTTGTCCTTGTGGGTGATTGTTTAATTGTGAGAGTAGTGTAGCTCGGTGGAGCTACTCGTACCTTGTTATTGCCGGGGTAGATATTTCCCCTGTGGCCTGTTATTGTTGGAGCTACCGTTACCTTGTATTGCCAGGGTAGATTTTCCCCTGTGCCTGTTTCATTTGTCGCTATTTGTGTACGACGGAATAAACTCTGCATTCGGTGATTACCCTCCTGCGCCTGACTCCTTCTATCACACTCATCACATCCGACACGTTCATTATTCTGGGACACAGTGGAGATCAACATTGCAACAATGTTGCAAATGCCGGAGATAATGTCTAGATGCTTTTTACAGTGGAGATCAAGTTTATAAATTGCATGGCTGGGCAGATGAGACAGTGGATCTGTAAAAGTAGTAGTAGTAGTGCGTTGCTAGGTAGCAACGTAAACAATTATACTTTTTATGAATGTACCCTCTCTAACAATGGGAATTTTAAACCACCTGTTTTATAATTAAGCAATAAGGCGCGAGGGGGTGTGGTATATGGCCAATATACCACGGCTAAGTGCTGTTCTTACGTATGATGCAACGCGGAGTGCCTGGATACAGCCCTTAGCCGTGGAGGGTGAATGGGCAAGAAAAAAGATTGAAGTGCCTTTGAACGGGGTATGGTAGTAGGTAGCAGGTAGCAGGCGCACCAGTTTGAGTGTGTCAAGAACTGTAATACTGCTGGGTTTTTCACGATCAACAGTTTCCAGTGTGTATCAAGAATGGTCCACCACCCAAAGGACATTCAGCCAACTTGACACAACTGTGGGAAGCATTGGAGTCAACATGGGCCAGCTTCCCCGTGGAATGCTTTCGACACCTTGTAGAGTCCATGCCCTTACGAATTGAGGCTGTTCTGAGGGCAAAGGGGGGTGCAACTCAATATTAGGAAGGTATTCTCAGTGTAGATTGTCCGGACCAATATATACAGTACCAGTCAAAAGTTTGGACACACCTACTCATTCCAGGGTTTTTCTTCATTTTTACTATTTTCTACTTTGTAGAATAATAGTGAAGACATCAAAACTATGACATAACACATATGGAATCTTGTAGTAACCAAAAAAGTGTTTAACAAATCAAAATATATGTGAGATTCTTCAAAGTAGCCACCCTTTGCCTTGATGACAGCTTTGCACACTCTTGGCATTCTCTCAACCAGCTTCATGAGGTAGTCACCTGGAATGCATTTCAATTAACAGGTGTGCCTTGTTAAAAGTTAATTTGTGGAATTTCTTTCCTTGTCACGACTTCCTCCGAAGCTGCCTCCTGTCCTTGTTCGGGCAGGCTTCGGCATTCGTCGTCACCGGCCTTCTAGCCACTGCCGCTCCTCATCTCATCATTCCATTTGTTTTGTCTTGTTTATTACACACACCTGATTCATATCCCCTCATTAGTACCTGTATAAGTGTTCCTCTGCCCCCCTGTCTTTGTGTGTGATTAGTTATTATGGTGGTGACTCTAGCTCGGTGGAGCTACTTTGTTATTCGTATCGTGTGCCTTGTTTTTCTCCAGTGCGTATTTACCGCACTGGAGTGTTTTATGCATTGCTGCATATCGCTGTGTTCCTGAATCACACACCAGTATCATGGAGTCAGCAGGAGCGGAGAACATGCCTGGAGTTGTGGAGTGGATCCGGGAGCACTCCAACATGATAGCCAGCTTGGGAGAAGCGATGGATCGGGTTCTCCAGGTCGTCCAACGCCTGGAGAGGAGAGAACCCGACCCTTCGGGACCAGCAGAGCGACCGGATCCAGCCACCCACACCCCAGCGCCCAGAGGGATTCACCTATCACGACTGAGGGAGTACGACGGGACAGCGGCCTGTTGCCAGGGTTCCTCCTGCAGCTGGACCTCTATTTTTCGACCATCAGCCCGGCTCCATCGGAGCGGGAGAAGGTGTCCGCCCTCATCTCCTGCCTCTCGGGGAAAGCCCTGGAGTGGGCCAACGCGGTCTGGAGTGAAGGAGGAGACGCGTTGGACAACTACGGGGCGTTCGCTCACCTCTTCCGGGCAGTCTTCGATCACCCCCACCCGAAGGAAGAGAGGCGGGCGAGCGACTGGTCCACCTGAGGCAGGGGACGAGGACAGCGCAGGACTTTGCCCTGGAGTTTAGAACTCTAGCGGCTGGGTCCGGGTGGAACGAGCGGGCCCTCATCGACCACTTACGCTGCTGCCTTCGAGAGAACTTCCGAAGGGAGCTAGCCTGCCGGGATACCATGTTGACTTTCGACCAGCTGGTGGACA